TGAATCTAAGGAGAGGTCTGTCTAGGTACCTGTCCTCATGTGAACTTCGTTGGTAAGCATTTGACGCCTGCAAAAGTTGGTCAACGTCAATTTTGCAAGGAAAATGTTAGCCATTTCTCCCAGCATGCTATTGGCCAGATACATCCACTTTAGGCCTCTTCGTTATTCAGGAGATTTCATTTAAAAACATTAACGCATTTGAAGCTTGTGACCTTGCAAATAAGCGTCTGCATTTCGTTAGAACAACATGAATTGCCCTTCACTGCAACATGCTTCTCCCTAAATATCATCATGTCACTTTTAGCTTTCAAAGGGTGGCATTTAAAGATTTTCACACATTTGACGCCCTTGTATATTTTGAATTCAACACATTTATCGACAAAATAAATATTATCACCATATGCATTTTGGTTATTAAAAAGATATTTTCTTTAAAGTTTTTCATTAAACGTTTGAAGCTAGTGAATTTGAATATGGGTGAAGGTCATTCATTTAAACAAACTTGATAGCTCTTCATTTTAGTATTTTCTGGCTAAAAATCCTCACTCTAGGCCTTTTAATTAATCAGAAGATGTTGAACATTTTAGAACATGCACAGTATAGTATTGGCATGAAGGACGCCTCATTCACTACGGCATAAGCTCACTTGCTCCTTCAGGCCAGGTGATATACAAATAATCTCAAATACGAATGTTGTATTTCACACATGATTTAATTTTTTCATACAATGATTTTATAATCTTTAACAGTTTCCTTTGACTCCATGCTTTATAAGTTTTCACCACAGACCGCCTTCCTCAATAGGAATAGAAACCTTTTTGTTACGTATAAAGCAGCAATACAACTCTTCCTATTATTTAAAGTTCTCAATTTCTAGCAAAATTCATACAATTGACACGAAACTGCGGTATACTTACCAATGATATATGTCAAAAAGGGATTTTTGGCGTTTGTTACTTTCCAATGATATATGTCAAAAAGGGATTTTGTGCGTTTGTTACTTTCAAATGATATATGTCAAAAAGGGATTTTTGGCGTTTGTTACTTTCCAATGATATATGTCAAAAAGGGATTTTGTGCGTTTGTATTGCCTTTTGAGTCTGCATAATTTTCAGCGGATTTACATATCTTATCAATCTTATAGTCGTTGTATCAAGTTTGACATTTACATGGAAACCAGGGCTGGTCTTCCTTCGTTACATTGTTTTGTCAACTAGGTTGCGATGAAGAGTTGCCATTTAACATAAGAAATGAATATAAACAAAGTACAATATCATTTCCTCGGCACAGAAGCTAGCTACACCTATTCAAAGGGCGTTCAGCAATTTCATTTAGACCATAGTTTCTGCTTCATCTGGCATTTTAAACTTGTTACCTGTAATTGTTACCTGTTATTGTTACCTGTAATTGTTACACCAGCGTGATTAACAATTACATTTATGCAGCTTACGGTGTGAAAGATAATACAAATGATCAAAGAAATACATTTCCTGTAATAACGTTTATAAAACTCAAAACATATTCACAATCTACTAACACGTATTTAATGACGCTCGTGTCATTATTACTAATCTTAAACTCCCGCCCTTGTCACTCGTGTGTCGACCATTGGCGGTACGAATGCTTCTTGATTTTCAAAAACATCATGCAAGTAATGTTATATTCACCTATTTATCAATATTGCTATGATCAAGAATAACTAAATTAGAATTGTTATTTATTTCAATTATATTTGATAGTTCATGGTTGAAATAATTGAATAGTATGAAATCAGGTCATGTCCAAGTCTAGCATTAAGGTCGGGTAACGACTAATCGGCTCTTCGAGACTTTGCAAAATGCAAATATCAAAAGTTTGATGAAAAGTACCATTCTCTAGTAGAAAATAACAAAGAACACAATGATTAAGACTGCGCAACAAAGTTAAGTTTTCTACTAAACGATTAACATTATCTTAATACTCTTGTAAACAATTATTAAACTCTTTCGTCGTTCCACAACGGCATAAGGAATGTTTGTTTATCCAAGGGTAGTTGAATTCTATCACAAAGAACATGAAATTCGGAGCAAGCTATGATATAACGTATAAACTGCGACATGTAAACCCAGTAGGGAGAAACAGGGAGGTTACTATCAAGAAAGGACAAGTCAACGATCGAAAAATCGAAACCGTTACGCTTATCGTACAAACTTTTAGTACGTTTTAATACGTTTTAGTACCCTTTAGTACCTTTAGTACGTTTTATTACGTTGGTCTTGTTTAAAAAAAGGTGGAAGTAAGCGGCTAATGTAAACGAGTCTGTGGTATCCATGACTAGGTTCAGAAGGGCACATAGATCAACACTGTCAATAACCTTTTTTTTTCGTCGATACATCTGAAAGTTGAAGGACTTAACCTAAACAGCTGAAATTTATAAATTGCTTAATCACATTTATAAAGGATTTATCAACCTTAACTGCATTCCAGTCAGTTCATTTTCAAACACAGTCATCGAAAGCATCAATAAACATTTCAAAATTTTGTTACAATTTTGTTGTTGGAGCCTGTGCGAATTTTGCTCCTTTGGTCAGGAAACCAAAACAATGCTGATGTCATCCGCAATGATTAGACCGATAATACTATAATTTAAAGTGAAGACGAAACACTTTCTGGGCGGAATGAGTTGCTGTAGGATCAGATATTGTATAGTTGAAGGGAATTATTAGGGTCTTTTTAAATGTGGTGTAATTGTTTTACGAAGGACAATGTTTAATTGTATATAGACCCTACTTTGGAAAATTTCAAAAATAGTTTTTTTAAGTGCAAAATATCTTAAAGAATTACAAGTATTTGGAAAAAATTGCTGTAAAAGCGTGACGATTAATTACAAGTTGCTTTCCAGGGGATGACACAATGTTATTTCCGATTATATTTATATAAAAATCTTTATGCATATGTGTACTATTACTAAGCTTTGAACGACAAATTAAGTCTATATTCTTTATACACTTTTCAAATGGTCGATTTCAAAATTCTTGCAGATCGTTTAAGTCTAACAGAAATAAAGTATAATTTTTAACAAAGCAGCCAATCTGTCGTCATGTAGTAGTGCTATTGTCCAGATGGCCGCCATGTAGTTAGGTCAGTGGGTGTCGGCGAAATCCCGACGGTGAATGGAAGCAGTAAACATATGTACACTGTACAAGGAAAGCCTTTACCTGCTACGCTATTATAAAATGATTTCTCCCGGAAAGAAGTCGTTCGTTTTTATCTAAATTTCCCATGCATGTATCTGAAAAAAATAACATATACAATTGATGATACTTTATGATATAAAAGAAGATAATTCTTTCGTGTCAGTTTTCTACTTTCTTTTGAAGCAATGCAAATTAACAATTTTGTTAGAAATATATATCCAGTGTTTTAAATCTTAATCAGATATTTAATTACTATGAGTTATGTAACACTTATAAAATACTGTGTTTCTTAAGAATACAGAAACATCGACCAGAATCATCAATTTATATTACAAAATTTAATTCCAAATAGAAGTGTCGGGATAAGGTGGTACGTTACACACTTACCTTAGCCTCCTTTCTTATTTTGCCCTTGGTCCGGACACGTGAATCTCTGTCCTTAACCTCCACTTTGCCCTTGCCCTTGGCCCGTTGTATACATTGGATGAGTCCACTGATACTGCCGATCACCAAGAGTAACGTCACACCGCCAGCTACGCCCAAGGCCCACCACGGTAGATCTACAGTGACTACAAACACAGGTAGAACTAATCAGGCTATCATTTATAATGATACAAGTGATGAATAACGGTATAATTTTGTTTTACAAACAACTACAATATATCCCAAAGCATAATACTGGAAAAAAACGTTTTATTATTATTGACATCGAGTTCATTTTAACCAACATTGATAAGAAGGTGTGAAAAAGCGAGCTCTACCAAAGTTAAACAAAACATGTTGATATGATAGCTAAAAACATTATAGGAACTTCACCTGGAAGCTGGCTTCACGTTTTGAAAATGGGGACGAATGTAGCACGGCAGACTTACCAGAGGAGGTGGAGGACGAGGAGGAGGAGAGCAAAGGTACTGTATTAGTTACAAATTTGTTATCTGGGTTAATTAGTTCAGGAGTACATATTGGTCAAACTGCGTATCTGCACATGCCGGTAACTAGGGTATAGCTACGGGGCAATCATGTCGAGATGATTGACTCCAGGTACAGTGGCCTAGAAGGTATATGTATTGACATTTCTATCGAGTATTATTCAAGACCTAAGGAATAACTTGGGATTAAAGTGAAGATGCTAGCAATTCATTACAGAGTAATTTGATATAAAACAGGGACATGTTTGCCAGCAGAAGGAACGAGTTATACTGTTTAGCCATAGAAAGTGTCCACGTCTTAGATGTCAGAAAGTTTTGCCATGTCTTATAAGGTAGAGCGATATCGGTTTGATACAGCTTGCGTTACTTAGCTGGAAAATTTGAGACACAACACAGAGGTTACGGGGTTATATTACTGTACGTAGATGGTATGTTGTTACCTATTGTGCATGTACATGTAATGAGATTGTTGATTAACATCTATAAATAAACAATGACAACTACCAACTATTACGAGTGCTTACGGCTACTGTGTCACACAAATATCACAAAAATAGAAAGAAAAAATCTGATATAACTATTAAAAATCTCGATTATACGAAACCTTTTAACATTTTTTTTTATAATAAACATGTGTATTATACTCACATAACTGCTGTTCATAAACAACAAAGTTACATAGAGTTAAACCCAACAATAAAACAACACTACCTATCAAATCACACGTGATCAACGCTTTTATCCTCTGATACACTTACGTCCTTGGAACTGGTCGTGTGTTGGGTCATTATTGCTGGTATCACGTCCCTTCATTGCCACCACGTTCGACTTTGTGCTTGTAGCCATGGTTACTCCCGAGCTCCCTCTTTGCTTGGTTGTGAAAGGAGTGTTGGTTTTAGTGGACTGCCCCACAGGAGGGTTACTATTTGTTTTAATGGACTGCCCCACTGGAGGGTTATTATGTATTTTAGAGGACTGCCCAACAAGACTGGATGTACTTTGTCCTCCAGATACCGCTGTCATATTACTAGGAGGCTGTACAGATGTGGTAGGAGACGCAATGGTTGAAGACGTTGCTACAGTGGTTGGACCTAGAAGTACATCAAAACACGTGTTTTATAAAGGTATACTGGTAAGTATATCAGGAAGAGTAGAGTTTATGGTTAACTTATATCCTTGATATATAGTATCGGGTTCGATGCCCCTCAGAAGCTGGAGAACTACCAGTGCATGTTGAAGAAGGGTATAAAGTCATGTACTTTCTAAACCTTATGGACAGAGGCGAATGCGTGAATTTTGAAAAGATGTTTTTAAAGTTATGACAGGCTGAAGGCGCGTGTGTGAGCACAGAAGGCATGAAGTCCGTCTAGGTCAGGAGTCAGGAGCGAGAATCCGGTGAGGGCCAAGAGGCCGAAGCACCCAATAAGCTGGAATCTTATATTTTCTACATTTTATTGACAGAGGTGGATGCATGAAGCTTGAATTAAATAGAATGTTGTATTTAGGTTCCCTCGTCCGGATCCGCCTATGAGTTTTTAACGCTATGAAAATCGACATATCATAACTTTATGGATACATATTTATTGCAATATCGTACAGATTGTATACGCATTCCAGGCTTGGACCACCAACTGTGCTGAGTTGGAACCTTGTGTGAAGGCACCTCCTCCCAAAATATGGTTGACATATATAAGGTAACCATGGCTACGTGGCGGCTGCCACAATTTTATACCGGAAGTGGAGTAGGCATAAACTAAACCCCCGTAAGATCCGGTTGCTTGAGCATTCTGTACAGCTCCTGTGGCAGGGAAATGGAAGTTGGCGTTCAGTCCTTCTGTGGATTTTACCTGAAACACGTTGTTTTATTAAATGGTTAATGCCATACGGAAAGAAAGCATTCTACAAAGTTCCAACAACGTTGCATGCGCAGAATTGTAGTTCGATATTTTGTACTTACATATTTGTACAATGCTATTCCTGTAATAATAATAATAATAACTCGAGATTTTTATGTACAACTTTATCACAACCTAGTTCGTAGGTCGTCTCAAAGCGGTTCATAAATTATTATCCGTGGTAATGGGGCTTCTGTAATTAGCCAATATATTTCTCAACTCATTGGGGAGCATACAGATGGTGCTGCCATTTCGGTGCTTACAGCTAGCATTCTACAGTTCTATCACTGCTCAACCACGTACTCATTTACTGCTGAGTAGACAGGAACAAGTGGGGTAAAGGATCTTACTCAAAGATACAACACAGTGCCGTGCCGTGACTCGAACCCGCAACCCTTCGGTCATGAGCCCGGAGTCCTACCACTAGACTACGGTAATATTTTACCTGTATCGAGCTAAGATTCTGTAACATCCCAACCTCGGCTTACACCTCGGTTTGGATTTTGTTTACTTTTTTACTTTAAACATATTTATTGCCAATAAAATTGAACAAGGGATTGAGCACAAGTTATCACGAGTTTTTGTACATAATCTTAACCCACGACCGAGATAACCCGATATAGCTCAGTTACAGGTATTTTTGTTCTCGTACCTTTTTGTTCGAAAAGAACTATTCAATTTTGCTAAAAACTATAAGTATCCCGCCTTGGGCCTCAAATGACAATAACCTCTTCATTACTAAAGCTACATTTAAATGCTTCCGCGTAAAAATGTAGTCCGCCATTACATAGATTACAACGTATTTCACAGTGTAGATTATATTTTATCTATAACATCAAATATCTAACGACATCAAAACTATACATATAACGACAAAACAGAACATTTATAATGCAAATTGTCTATTTCAAGCAATTAACGCGCGGATGAATACATCGCAGTGTAAAATTTCCGCGAAATGTCTCGTAAAGGTACAAGACAGATCGGACGAGATAGAAACATCTAACGTGGGATGTCTCTGTCTGAGGTGCGAGAATACTGTATATAGAACAGGGGACACACGGCATACCATGACGGACAGAAGACCAAGGTCTATGTCAAAGGTCGATGGAAACGGCATCTCTTTCACTATAGATGTCGCTTTACTTCCGATATCTTTTGTCTTGCTGAACAAGTCGACACCATTAAAGAACGTCCACATCTTCACGATAAGACTTCCAGATTTCTGTTTGTCATTAGATCGCCGACCCCATCCGTCAGCTGTACTGTACAGGCCTCCTGTTAAAACAGTAAACTGGGTTCATTTACCATCAGCCGTTATCGGGATTCTGTGGCTTGTTGTCAACAGGTATTTATACAAGTATACCATTGTTTCATTATTCATAATACAGACGAGACGTTTGATTGAAAACAAATATCCCAGTGTATCTGACAAACTAAAAAATACAGTATAACCAATGAAATATGTTTGCTTTAAGATTACTCATCTTTCCCCCTTCATTTGGAAATAGTTCCTCATATACAACTACAATTTACAATTAAATTTACCTCTACAAATGACAGATTGGTTTTTGTCTTTACTTTTTGGAAAAAAAACGCCCGTTGTAGAATTTTACCAGAATATTTTATAATTTTAATGAGAAAATAGATACATTAAATGGAACAAACAGTTAAGCTATCAAAGGCTTTGGGGTTAAATTAAAGGGAAACGTATCTTCAATCTAAAATGATATCATGGTGAAACAGTATTGCTGCCGTTATTATTCCATTATTACATGTACAACTAATTTAAGATGATTGAAGTCATAGACTGGCTACCAGCCCCTACGTTTTATGAAGAATTTCCCAGCTGCAGTTTATTACTAGCTTTTCCCAACCCCCTTAGTTTGAGAATTTCGGAATCAGACATCAAAGTTATCAAAATCATTAGAGTTAAAAAAAAATCTAAGTAACTCAATTTTCTAGAGATGAAGGCCAGTGCAGAATGGTCGATGAATATGGAACAATTTTGTCATTGCAATCAAACGTCAAATGTTTCACCAATTTCACGTGTTTGCAGTAAACAACGTTCGTAAATGTTGTATTTTACAATTCTACATCAACGGAACAATAGGAAGTAATCTAAACCAATACCTATAACAAGTACATATATGTTGTTTTATATAACATATCTGATTAGAGTGTTTCCACAACCAGTTCCAGGGGTAAAAGCAAACATCATGCGACTATGAAAAACCCCGACAATAGCCTGGCTGAAGTTTAAAACAGAGCCTTATAATCATTAATTTCCATCAGAAATTATTCCTTTTCAATAATAAACCAATGGAATATAAATATGGACGTGCCGGAATCAGTACTGGGAATCCAGACGCGGATATGACTGTCATTGTATGCGTATAATACACCGCCCCATGATGTATTCATGGATGTCATTGATGACGTCATCACATATCCTGCAATAAAACACACAGTAGTACAATAAAAATCGATGAAAATAAAGAGTAAAAGACAAATATTCCTGGCAATTATACCTTCTTTATCATATGAATGTAAAATTTCTAGAGTCATACTTTCTTAAACAGAATATCAATGAAGTAGTTTAAAATTTGCTTTACTTAATGCAGACACATGGGTGAAGCTATAAGTAAAGCGCACATTTGAGGTTCTGTTGTAAATATCGATTTTTACATAAACTTTCAATAAAGATATTTTTTTGGAAAGCTGTTCATAAGGGATTTTTTTTTATTCACATGAAATGTCCTTCCAAATTTGGCTTAAGTTCTAGAAAATTACATAAATTGTTAACGCAAGATTAATATAACAGTCAAACGGTAGCTACCAACAAAACCGAAATCAGTTCTGTCCTTGTGGAAATATAATCCCTCGAGTAATATTCTTATCCAATAACGCAATAATCGTCAGTGATCCCCATGTAAAATTGAAAATTGAAACTCCTCCGAAAAGGAGCATTCATAAAAGTCGGAGACAAAGTATGAGAAATTACGACAGACAATAACTACTTCAGTTTAAGCCCATTCCTTTCAGTAACAAACATATCCATCTTAAAACCTTTAGGTACTTGCAGTGCGTTCGCTAATACATGTTACCACTATTTTTATTTTCTTGACAATTCCCATCTCCCACTGTACACGTTAATGACGTACCTACTCCATCCGACACCCATTTAGAACTGCCGTGCCTGACTTGGACCGTCACATACTCTGGAACTGTGCCCAGCCCATGGGCGAGCTCCAAGAACGACCGTGGCCCTGAGGGTTCACATAACAAACAACAACAAATGTTTTACTTATATACTTCTTAAGAGTTAAGCAGGAGCAAAATCAAGCCATTTACAAGTATTGAATATAAAAATGGAAAAGACCATCTATTTATTAAATAATGTTGACAGATAATTTCGAGTTATATATACTCTCTGGTATGATACTAGTTCCCCACGATTAAAACTTAGATAGTTCCTGTTGTAAACTTTGTACCTGGACCACCCTGTACTTGTATAGGAACTGTTGTGACGTAGTCGGGACAAGGGAAGTCCATTGGCGACCAGACACGCACGCGTACTTTCGCCCTGTTCTCCTTTATCCTGACGGGGCCGGACCAAGTATTTCCACCTGCATTGGACAAATTCATTATATTGTTTACATCATCATTATTTCATTATCAGCTTTTTAAAATAAATTAAATATGGAAGTCACTAGTGTTATATGTTATGTCGATACTCCAGACATTTCTATTAACTGAAGCATGTTATTTTAATAATTTTGTTATTAAAGTGTCAAAATAGTGATTGCATGGTTACTTTTTAAATCATTCGCAACTAGTGTCAGTGATGCAGTGGACAGAACCAACAATTGTCGTACCTGTGTAGATAGTTGATCCGTTAGAGAATCCGTCCCTCCTGTTAGGTACGTACACCTTCACCACCGCATCGTCGTACTTGTACACAACCCCTCCGTAAGGGTCGCTCTCGTCGTCGTCCCGTTGGGCAGAACCAGAACCTGGAAATATAGACTGAATGTCGGCTTCCGGTGTCACCTGTACGTCGACCTTGACAGGGGTAACTTGAAGTTCGTGCTCAAACATTGCTTCTGACTGGGAGGTCTGTGCTTCCAGAACAGTTGTACTGCTGACGTAGGTCGGTTTTTTATAACAGGACCCACAGTTAGACGGCAGACCTGGGCGTAAAGGAGAGAACAACCTTTCAGTTTTGGTGTCAACGAATCATGGGAAACCTCCCACTACCTGTTCAGGAACAGTGCCAATGTACATGATTCGTGGAGATGGTTTAGAAAGGAGTTAAACCTATGCTGAAAGATTGACTATTATGAAAACCCTTATTAGGGATCGGAGTAGTTTATAATATCTCATACAGTTTAAAACAATCTGGCTGATAGTTATTAATTTCCGATGGCCAAAAAATACTGCCCTAATCCACCAGTCGTCCTTTACTTTAAAGACATTGTAGGTAGCTAGCTCCAAGTGGTGGTACCCGGTATGTATCTGGTATTAATACCATTACACATATATTGTTGACATTTACGCTGACATAGGTATACAATCTCTGTCGTCCCTGGAACGCGAGGTTAAGTCATGTGACCTCTCATTCCTCTCACTGTAACATCGCCCCCCTACCCTCGGATTGATCTCGTTAGACATGTCAGACGTCTCTAGACCTCTTGGGATTATCTAAATAAACGGGCCTTATAGATAATCACAGTTAAATTTCACTTTTGAAAGCAATGGAAATGATTTGAGATTTACGTTGTCAATCATGTAGACAAAATTCCCTCGTCCTATGATCTTCAAACATCGATCTTGAATTCTGTTGGAATCATACTATTTTTAGAGGGACGTTTGATGTTTTAAACAACGTTAGTTTATAGGTGTCGAACGTGGAACTATTGCTATTTCTTAGCCTTTAAATAAGTGGACGAGGCATGTTAATTAACTCTCGACTTTGGATGTCCTAATTACTGCGGCATCTTTACATATTGCCATACACATATCAAAAACAACGACCTTCATTTCATTTTTTATTTCCGGGTTTTCCCCCACTCAAACTACTTAATTTCTAATCCTCCTAATAAACATTGCAGAAAAAGTAGTTTTTAATAGTCAATTTTAAAATTTATTAGTTTAATTAAGAAGTAACATTTCATGTTGACAATGCAGGAAGAAGCTTCAGTCACGTGATTAGCCTCTTGTATCAACAATTCACTAGGAGAGTCAACCACATTGTGACGTAAAATAAACATTATAAATAACAATTTATTGACATTATCGGTAATTATATAAAAAGTGCTATGTTAGTGATTTTGCCGAGCGTCCTTACAAGGAATGCGGGGCCTTTGTACTCGGAGGCACAGAGGCTTTCGCATCCAACACACCGGTAACAATAAGTAAATTAACAAAAAGATGGTATATCAATATAGTATTAATAATACCAGCAAGCATCCTACTTGATAATGTATTTTGTTCGAGTATTGGTAGGGTGGGCTGAGTTGTGTGTTTGTGAGTACGAACCCAATGTTCATAAACCACAACTAAACGAAAAGGTATAGGCCTATCAATTTGATATAGGTAAATGCATACACAGCAATACGATATTGCTAGGGAAATAACGTGTTTAAATATTGAAGCCTTTAAATAATTAAAGGAAGTTCCGTAACCTACCCGAGCATTGTGTGTCGTCTATTCGCTACCGACTACCTATAGATTTATCGATCTCCGTTATCAATCCCCATGCTGTGTCAGTGATCTTAGTTAGTCAGTAGTATATTTTACATACCTCGTACTTGACGTAGATCACCATGTCCCCGTCGTGATATGAATTCAATTAATAACACAAACTGTCTATCGATAGCGTTTGATATTGAGGATGAATAAGGTTATTTTGATCTATAAATACGGTTTTTAAACTTCAATTTGACAAACCTGATGATTATTTATTTGATTAAATCTCTGTTTGACATATGTAAAGTACTTGAGGTATGATATATAGTCAGGACCTTCCGTAATCAGTCTGAGGGGGGTCCTAGATTACTCGACCACAATATTATACTTCTTAACGTTCAGGAGCTAAAATAAAAGCTCTATATAAACAGTATTAAGAAATGACGCTATAAAAAAATTCTGATTCATACATTACAGTTATTACTTTTGTTAAAGTTTTCATCAAGGATGGGGCACGGTAGCCACCTTGTTTTGACTGTTTGCCTAAAAAATTACCCGAATGTATGTGCCAAAAGTTATTTTCCTGCAATTTTCATTTTGGAACCACACTACCTATCTTTTATAGGTTTATCAATGTGTGTGTTTTAACAGTGTCATAGATTTGCTTGCTTGTTGTGTTTTATATAATGTTACCTCCGTTTTTATTTGTTATATAGTCGGTTGTAAAAGCCTTCCATAGGCTTGTATTGCCTTGTTTAACCATGTACCGACTTCTAAATACAACTAACTTGAACGTTCTGTGCTTAGTTTGACATAACTGGCCTCGTTTATCAGGACGCAGTTGTTCATGTCTCCTATCGAAGACTTTCTGTAAGTGTATCTACAACGGTTCAAATATATTCTTTAGGATGCAGGTTAATTTAATACCTTTCTCACATAATCAACAGTGCTGTTGAGATCACATTTCCTGCATCATAAAAACTGATAAGGGTCTATTAATGTTTACCCGTGTATCGCAAAATATTCACAATGAAAGAATAGAGTAAAATGTTAAGATGAGAATGAATTATATTAGATACATTTCTGTATTGGGGAAAATATGAAATATGCAAGTCATTGTAGCAATATGGGTAAAACTTATTTTAACTGCAAAAACAATTGTATCGTAATCTCTACGTGGTAATGTTTGTGCTATCTACATGGAATCCATGTTCTACCAAGTTAAACCATCTTTCCTTGAGCATGTTAAAATGGTCAAGAACAGCGTTTTCTGAAGTGCGCTTGGGTAAGAGTATGCGCCTATGAAAATGTTAATAGTACCTCGTTCAACGATACACCTCCATGGAACAGAAGGTATAGCCTCGTCATATTTAACAGTATATGTAGGAAGCGCTTTATAGCACGTTTTCTCTATAATCTTGAAGGTACGAGTATAAATAGATAGGTCTGCTGTAGCCCACCGCTGGGCGAAGTTGGAAGGGTTAATATGACTCTATCCTCGATATCCAGGGGTTACGCTCACTATGTCACAGCAAAAATGAAGGCACGCGGCTAGCTATTTGATTGTTGTCAGTTAAAAAACCTGACCAATCTATAGTCTGATACTTGTCCTTTACAAAGGAGCAACGCCCGACTTCAAAGCCATTACGCGACCGCGAGATTCTTTTGATGTACATCAAAGGACCAAACTAGTCTTCTCGTCTCAACCCCAAGGTGTTGCACACTGAACCTTCAATTTTGCTATGACATAGACAGCGAAAGTGAGCGTAACCCCTGGATACCGAGGATGATATGACCTGTCCCCACTACCACTCCAATTCCTCATTGAACCGCTACAGTAACCTGTTGCATCACAAAACCTTTCTGCTAGCGAGTTCTATCCTGCCAGTCATAACCCCGGGGTTTCTATCCTCTCTAGTAACGTATTCCTTAGTCTTACTTGTAACTAATATTGCTGCACGATCAGTTTACTTACACGTGTAATATCAGAGCGGCCCAGTTACCGTAACAAATTAAACGTTTTACGAAGAGATTATATGGGGATTAAACATATGATGAAATATTGACTTGTTGGTGATCGGAGCAGATTTACAGATTGATTATTACCTAAAGTACGAGACAGACATCTGGCGGACATTTGACAAAAGCCAGCTATAGTCCTGATTAACCACCGGCGGTTTTCTTGATCGACTCGGTATATCTCCGCCTAGGGTATTCCGTCTCAGGTACGGATAAATAAATAAATACGGATTAAGTCATGTGACCTCTCATTCCTCTCACTGTAACATCGCCCCCCTACCCTCGGATTGATCTCGTTAGACATGTCAGACGTCTCTAGACCTCTTGGGATTATCTAAATATACATTTCACTTTTGAAAACATTGGAAATGATTTGAGATTAACGTTGTCAATTATGTAGAAGATATTTCAATGTCATATTATCCAAAATCACCGACCCTGAATTGCATTTTCAAATACATTCTATTTCCGACTTTGAGGGCGTTTGACGATTTTGAACAATGTCGGTTTCCAGTATATGATAAATATTATAAGGAAGTTCCGTAATCTACCCGAGCTTATATTCGCTAATGAATATCTAAAGATGTATTGATTTCCTGTATCAATCCTCATGCATTGTCAAATATCCAAGGTAGTCACTATAATATATTTAAATAACGTGTAGGTGACATAGATTTCAATATCATAGGTTTCCCCCACTTGATAGGAATTCACTTAATAACACGAACTGTCGTTTGGTAGTGTTTGATGTTGACGACGGGTAATGATATGCCATTCCCTGTATGATTATTTATTCGAGTGAATCTCTGTTTGACACATATACGGTACTTGAGGTATGATATATTAAGAAAACTGCCTATACTTTATTACCTCAGGGAGGTCGTAGGATCACCATTCACACCATAGTACACTTTTGAACCAATCAACTGTTAAGGGGGAAGACGAATTTTAAGTTTTTTAACTGTCTAATTCCATTAGTATTTTTGCAAATAAAATATATTTAAATCAAGGCGAAAAATCCTCACGTACTTTACAATTGATAAATGAACGAAATAGTCAGAGGGTGCAACAAAATGTTGTTTTTTTTATCTTCCTTCATCTTTGAACAAAATCTTTCTTTGTATTTTTAGTGATTATTTTACGTGACATTGTGGTTGAATCTGCTGGTGGACCCTTGTAGCTGGAAATTATTATAGCACGGTTGACAAAAACTATTTGTTTAAGAATAAATCATCTGCTGTAGCAAAACCTTGTAAGTTCATGCACACCTCCCCCATAGCTGTATTTCTACATATGTTCCGTAACACTTAAATAATGGATTTTCATTCATTTGACCTTTATTATCAATGTTGAGTTCTAAATGACGAAATGAATATATAGTGCAGCAAAATATTTGCTTTCTTTGCTCAGTGTTTTCTTACCAAGACGTTAAGTTTGCAAACTGGAAATAGTAACTTAACATTGACCTCGTTAACACACAACA